TTTTTTTTTTTTTTTTTTTAAACATTTACACCCGCTGTTTCCTCTCCCTGGACCTTTCTTCTTGTAGCACTACACAGGGCTGGCTCATTCCAATCTTTCAGATTTCAGTTTAAGTATCAGGTCCTCCAAAAGGTCCTTCCTAACCTGATTTGAATCGTGTCATCAACCGCCACGCTCTGTGGCCATGACCTGTTCTCGCATGGCACTCGCCGCATTTTGTGAATGTGTGTGGGTGCATTTGAGTGGGTGATGTTTAATTATCGGATACCTATAAGCTCCACACTCCTTTGATCACCACTGTCTACCCAACATCCTGCACAGTGCCTAGCAAATAACACGTGCTCAGTAGATACTTGTCATGTTCAAGGATGGTGTGCAGTTAGCAATTCCTCCAGAAGGTCAGCCAAGAGCCCCACGACTTCTACGTGGTGCACGCACCCATCTCAGACTTGCTGGGCGGCCTAACGAGACTATCCGTCTCCTTTGCTTTGTTGTGTTCCAGGAGCGGCTCGTGCTGTCTGTGCTTCCCCGGTTTGTCGTCCTGGAAATGATCAATGACATGACCAATGTTGAAGACGAGCACCTGCAGCACCAATTCCATCGGATCTACATCCACCGCTATGAGAATGTCAGGTGAGAAAGACAGCGCCCTGACCCCTGCTCTGCACTTGATCTGTGTGTGACTGGCTGCTCTCGTCAGACTGCCATGACTTCTGTCTGGCTGAATGCCAGTGCCTTTCTTCATTTTGCTGATTAATTCATTAACCAGTGATTATTCACCATAGAGTTCATTTCCAAATTGAGGCTCGAGAAGAATGTCAGAGAAATACAATGATGTCGGCTTGCCTGCCTTTACATTTCGAGTGGAAAAGCAAAAGCCTTTTACATTATGATTGAAAAAAGAATTCCAAATGCAACCTAGAGACTTCAGGGGTGATCACATTGGTCTCCTTCTTATAAGGTTTTTTAAAACAATGTAAAATGGATTACAGCTCAGTTGTTTTTTTTTTGCAAACATATTTGTGGCCAACCATCCATCCATCCACCCATCCATTCACCTATCCATCCATCCATCCATCCATCTACCCATCCATTCAACTATCCATCCATCCATCCATCCATCCATCCACCTACCTGCTTACCCAACCATCTACCCATCCACTCACCCATTCACCCATCCATCCATCCATCCATCCACTTACCCAACTATCCATCCATCCACCCATCCGTTCACCTATCCATCCATCCATCATCCATCCACTTGCCCACCCATCCATCTACCCACCCTTGCACCCATCCACCCTTCCTCCCATCCATCCCTTCATCCTTCCATCCACCCATCCATTCACCTATCCATCCATCCGTCCGTCCATCCACTTGCCCACCCATCCATCTACCCACCCTTGCACCCACCCATCCTTCCCCCATCCATCCCTTCATCCATCCCTTCATCCATCCATCCATCCATCCATCCATCCAGTTCTACTTCTTCCTTGTGTAAAACTTTGGGCAATTTACATACTTGAATCTCAGGACCGTTCTCTATAAAATGGGCATTTTAATAGCCACCTTGCAGGGGTTTATGTACATAACGTGAGTGAAGTTATATACAAGGCGTAGAAGAGAGGTAAGCATACAGTAGAGCATTAGGCATCTGTAGATGGTTTTAGACATATGTCCTAATTATAAGCAAAACCAACAGATCCAAGTCTGTTAAAAGGCTGCCTAGTGGCTCATAGAATAATTGGGGAAGGATGGAGAGGCAGGCTCAGCAAATGAGGCAGAGCGAAGCCAGAGCAGAGCCAGAATCACAGCAGAGCACTAGGCCAGTGAGGATGCTGCCTCCACTGTCCCTGAAGAACCCACTGCTTGTGCTACCAACTCCCTCACCCTCCCCAACACAGCTGCCACCTCTTGGAATCCTCCTGAAGCCCCCAGGATCTGGATGTGGTGGCCTTTGCCCTGCCCCCACTCCCCGTTCCCCCTCCCTCTTTGCATTGCAAGTTAGAGCCTGGGGCAGATGTGTCTGATTGGCTTAACTCAGACACTCACCAGAAGTGTCTGGAAAGCAGATACCTGACATGGGCATCTTGTACAATAGAATTATACCTCCCTCCCACTAAATATCAGAGGGCAAACATACCCAAACATAGGGGAAAATTCTATACGCTAAACAGCTCTAAGAGTGACCAATGTACCCTCTTAGCTCCTTTCGTCCTGACCTTGGTCTGAGGGAGGAACAGCTTTTCCTTCTAACCAGCATCTCCGGGCATTCACCTGGCATGCTGGGACACGCATTTGAAAAGAAGTCCAACAGGGGCGCCTGGGTGGCTCAGTCGGTTAAGCGTCCGACTTCGGCTCAGGTCATGATCTCAGGTGCGTGAGTTCAAGCCCCACGTTGGGCTCTGTGCTGACAGCTCAGAGCCTGGAGCCTGCTTCAGGTTCTGTGTCTCCCTCTCTCTCTGCCCCTCCCCTACTCCCTCTCTCTCTCTCTCTCTCAAAAATAAAGATTAAAAAAAAATTTGAAAGGAAGTCCAACAGCGATCATGATTCCAACACAGCGGGCATCTCAGTAGAGGTCATTCTCAGGATTTTGTCCAAGACTAGAGCTCCATTGGTGTAGGTGCCTGGGTCTGCAAAGCAGCCTTTTGTCAAATAGCAGCTCCCATAAAAGATACTCCCCAGATGTACAGATTGGTCCCGTCGATGATGAGAACTCATCGATGCCAGTTGTGGACAACAGGTTCAGGGAGGTGCCTATAATTATAATACAGTGTAGGATTCTATTTTTAAAGTAAGTAAAGGCTGTTAATGGATCATATAAAGAGGAAGAGCTAGGGGGAGGGAAAGGGTTTGGGGGTGATAAGAGAAACCTTCCTAAAAGACATGATTCTTATTTACCTGATTTGAAATTGAGCCAGCTTAGTGAAAAATATCAAAGAAAGGAATCCCCAGCCAAAGGATTCGTACAAGTGAAGGCTGAACAGTGAGATCTGTCTATCTATATCTGTATGTGTATATAATATGTAACATACATATCATGTGTATGTGATTATTATATTATTTGATACTGATCATTGGTTATCATTATGTATATGATACAATATATGATATATGTCATAGAATATGATAATATATGTTATATGATATATATACATCTAAAAATAGGAAAAGAATATTATGCAAGTGCCTGTCACTATGAAGAAGGCAGGGGGCGGGGGAAGGAGACAATTACTTTTTGTAAAGTAAAGAAAAAAAGGAGAAAAATAAACAAGCCTGCACAGCCACACCAACTTATTCAGGAGCCGTAAGCTCAATGAACGATGTACTTGGCGTTCTTTTCTGCACCGATCAGTTTTCAGTGCTTCCCTTAGTCGGGAACAGCTAAGGTGACTTCTGCCCTCCCCACTCCACCTATTTATTTTTTTTAAATTTTGTTTAATCTTTATTTATTTTTGAGAGAGAGAGAGAGAGAGTGAGACAGAACATGAGCAGGGGAGAGGCAGAGAGAAGGAGACACAGAATCTGAAGCAGGCTCCGGGCTCTGAGCTGTCAGCGCAGAGCCTGATGCGGGGCTCGAACTCACGGACCTGAGATCATGACCTGCACCGAAGTCAGATGCTTAACCGACTGAGCCACCCAGGCTCCCCTAACCCATTTATTTTAAATCATTAAACTGACTTCTTGCACTGGAGACCCTCTTGCAAAAGTATACACGGCACCAAATTAGAATTGGGTTTGCTTCCCTGTGCTTCTCAGTAGCCTCAGCCCCAGGCAAAGGAGCTGCTTCTAACAGAAGAGTCTGCGGACGCCTGCTGGCACACTGGGGGCTCTCCTGCCCTCACGGAGGCCGGGGGTGGGGGATGCCCAGAGCCTCCCCTTGGAATTGGGAAGGTGAACTCTGGGAGAGAAGGAGGGACCCCTCCGGCCCGCTGCAGGGCTGCTGGAGACTAAAATAAGATCAGAGATGAGAAAAGTACAGCCTGCTCTGCCCTGTTCCCCAGCACCCAGAGCACCTGCTGCGGTGTGGGGAGCATTTTCTAAATTATTCCCAATCCCGTCTGGCTCTTCAGGGCAACCCACCTCTGCTCATTCTTTCTTCTCTGTTGCTTTTACTGCTGTGGTTGTTTGGTGACCCTTCCCTGAAAACGGTCCGCTGTAAATGTCTAATCCTTGATCGTGTTCCATACAATCCTTTGTCTCCTGTCGCGTATGTAGACGCGAATAGGTCGGTATAGGTTATGGTAAGAGGTGCCCTTACCGTGCTCAGGGGACTGAGAGCCAGGGGACTAGGCTTCTCATTCCAGAATGCATTCTCTGAGCCACATCCCCTGCTAGACTTTGGGTGCATCATTTCATCTTTGGGGACCTCAGTTTCCAAAAACTGAACTGTTTGAAATGGACAGAAACTTTGGATTCTCCTGTTGATTTCAGCCCTGTGCATCTGAGATTCCAGCAGCATCCCTCCGGAGCTACACCCAGCCACTTGGTGCCCAATTCCTTTTATTTCTCTTATTTTCTCCCGTATATTTAAGACACTTACGTTAGTTAGGGTAATACTGTGTGCTCACTGCTCACACTCCTGGTCAGTGGGTGACTCGGGGACAAAGGTCTTCCCCTGGGCCTCGGCGTTTTCGGTACTCAGCTCTCGGAGGGAGAAGGGTAGATTCGATTGATGAGACTGATCGCGTGGCCCCACGCAGACACAAGAGGAGAACACAGTCTGGGGCTCGGCGGCCTTTCCTAGCGATAGGGGAACGTGGATGTGGTGGACAGTTAGCTTCTCTCCCAAAGCTTCCTTCACCTTCCTCTTGCCCAGCCCCACCCCGTGCGCACTGGCATATTTGCTATGTTAAGTCGGTTAAGCGTCCGACTTGTTCGGATCTACTCAGGAGACAAATTTGTCTTTGCCTTTCCCCGTGTTACGGTAGACAGTTCAGTGAACCTTCATCAGGGATCGGAAGACCCTCAATTTTACAGGCTTACTCAGCCTCCCCAATTTCTGGGTTGGCTGTTATTTCCAGCCGGCCCTATCCACGTGTGCAGCCACGACACGCACCACGTAGACCAGAGTTTCACGCACAAGCAAAACGCAATTGAATGCGTCCAGAGAACCTGTTGGCTTTTAGGACCTGTCTGCGTGGCAGTCTATTAAATACTCTCTGATTCCCCAGAATCTCCTCGAGGAGGTGCATACCCTCCACTTATTGAAGACAATGCTGTGATTTAAAAGTTAACTGGAGGGGGTGGGCGGGGGGGGGGGGGGGGGGGGGGGGGGGGGGAGGCGCATAGGTGTGGCTCAGTCGGTTCAGCATCCAACTTCAGCTCAGGTGGTGATCTCACAGCTCCTGAGTTCGAGCCCCGAGTCGGGCTCTCTGCTGTCAGCACAGAGCCTACTTCAGATCCTCTGTCCCCCACTCTCTCTCCGCAGCTCCCCTACTCCCTCTTTCTCAAAAATAAATACGTATATATTTTTTAAGTTACCTAGGGTTGCCTGGGTGGCTCAGTCGATGAAGCATCCTATTCTTGATTTCAGCTCTGCTCATGATCTCACAGTTCGTGGGATCGAGCCCCATGTCAGGCTCCATGCTGACAGCGAGGAGAGCCTGCTTCGGATTCTCTCTCTCCCTCTC